GTTCCCTCCTCTCAGGGAACTACGGTTACGTGAGTAACCAGAGACGTTTTCCACGGTTATAGCCTATATTACAAAAGTGAAGTTGACATTTGAACGCCAAGTATGGTACCCCATATTTGGAATTTGTCCTCTGCATTTAAATTAGTGCACACACATTAGAAGTAATGAGTGGTGAACACACACACACCCAGAGCATTGGGCAGCCCCGGAACAATTGGGGGTTAGGTGCCTTGCTCAAGGGCACCTCAATCATTTCCTGCCTGTATTGAGAATTGAACCCTCAACCTTCGGGTTACCAGTCTGACTCTTTAACCATTAGGGCAAAATTGATATTTGAGATTGATATCAGATATTAAAGGGTTAGTTCAGCCCAAAATGAAAATTCTGTCAGTAATTACTCACCCTCATGTTGTTCCAACCCCATAAGACTTTCGTTCATCTTTGGAACACAAATTAAGATATTTTTGATTAAATCTGAGAGCTGGATCACTTATCCATAGGCTTCTATGGGATTGAAACTTGCCGGCCCAGAAAAGTTAAAGACAGAGAAAGTTCACGTAGTGTAACTGCGCAGCGCTTCTGGGTTACGTCACACATAGGCTCACTATTGACCAACGCTGGTCATGTGTGTGATGCGTGTGACGTACAACCTAGAAGCGCTGCGCAGTTACACTACGTGAACTATCTCGAGGCCAACAGAGAAGGAAATGAATAGTTGAATAAAGTCGTTATTTTTGTTTGTTTTTTGCGCACAAAAAGTATTCTCGTCGCTTGATAAACTTAAAGATTGAGCCACTGTAGTCACTTGGACTATTTTAACGATGTCTGTAACTTTTCTGGGCCGGCAAGTTTTGATCCCTTAGAAGCCTATGGAGGAGTGATCCAGCTCTCAGATTTAATCAAAAATATCTTAATTTGTGTTCCGAAGATGAACGAAAGTCATACGGGGTTGGAACAACATGAGGGTAATTACAGACAGAAATTTAATTTTGGGGTGAACTATCCCTTTAAATATCTGAGTTAGTAACACACTATGGTTGTGAACATTTGTGAGCCAAAATAAACAAATATCAGATTTTTATTTTTTATGGAATATTACCTTCCTATGTTTCCATATTTTGCATCTGTTTGGCTTGGGATAAAAAGATACTCACATTTACACAATCGACATTGTGTATTTCATGCATGTATGTCCATTCAGCAGTGACACCTAAATTACACATTTTGCATTGTGACAACGTTAATAAATGATCTACATGGTCATGTGTGTATTTACATGATTGTGTATTATTACATATTATTACCAGCTGGATGTAAACCAATCTGGCTTTAAGAAAGGGCATTCAACCGAGACTGCATTGCTGTCGGTCACGGAAGCCCTGCGGATCGCAAAAGCTGCTTCCAAATCATCAGTTCTCATTCTCCTGGATCTGTCTGCTGCCTTCGACACTGTGAACCATCAGATCCTTCTGTCCACCCTCTCAGCACTCCATGGGCATCACAGGTACTCCTCTCCACTGAGTCCTATCAGGTCCTTCAGGGTCGCATGGAGAGGCGAGGTATCCAAAGCACATCAACTGACCACATGGGTTCCTCAGCGTTCATTGCTTAGACCCCTCCTCTTCTCCATTTACACCACATCACCGGGACCCATCATACAGGCATGGTTTCTCTTACCATTGCTATGCTGATGACACCCAGCTCTACCATTTCAACCAGATGATCCCACAGTAGCTGCACGGATCTCAAGCTGCCTGGCGGACATCTCGGCATGGATGAAGGAACATCACCTGCAGCTCAACCTGGCAAAGACAGAGCTTCTCATCCTCCCTGCCAATACATCTCTACAACACGACTTCGCCATGCTAGATTCATCCTCAATCACCCCATCAAGGTCGGTCAGAAATCTTGGAGTAACATTTGATGACCAGCTGACCTTCACAGACCACATTACAAAGACAGCTCGATCATGCAGGTTTGCACTGCACAACATCAGGAAGTTCAGGCCTTTCCTATCTGAGCATGCAACACAACTTCTCGTCCAGGCCCTGGTTATCTCTAGGCTTGATTGATTACTGCAATGCTCTTCTGGCTGGACTTCCATGCAGGGCCGGCGCTCCGCACACGCACATCACGCACTGCGCGTAGGGCACCAAGTGCTTGGGGGGGGCACCAAAAAATCTGGGTCGTGAAAAATCATCACAATAGGCTACTAGTATAAATAACAAATAAAAAATTTCTAAAGCATGTTAATATACAAAAGCAATACAAAAGTAATATAGGCCTAGACCAAATTAGTCGAGAAAAAGGTGAATCTCCTGTGCCAGTCTCCCTCTGGTGCCCCCCCCTTCCCCACCTCCCAGTGGTCTGTTCGATTATGCCTCAATCAATGTAAAATTTGGCAGACACCGACCTCAGACATGGCCTCGAAAAGGCACCAAGAGTCGGGGGCGGAAAAAAGGAAAAAGAAGAGACAGCGGGATGATACTCGCGCGTTGCTTGCAGGTAGACAATGTTTTAAATAAAAATGTTAGTTTTGTAGCGCGGGCGCCCTTGCGTCGTGAATGCATGTCCAGGGGGGCGTCGCTAGTAGTGCAAATGATCCGGGGCTTTTTTAGCCCTGCATGTTGAATCTTTTATTTTAACGGGGGTCCGGGGGTTTCTCGAATTTTGAAACTTGGGCTGTTTAAGATGCAGTTAGTTTGTTTGAGAAGAAGAGGAAGACCGCTTAGATACGTTTTTTCGTTGTTGTTCTATGCCAGTGGTTCTCAACCTCTCCTGCAGGGACCCCCTGACAGGCCATGTTTTTGTTTTAACTCTGAAATGGCACACCTGATTCAAGTAATTAAAGGCTTAATGAGTAATTAGAGTAGGAATAGTTCAATTAATCAATTAGTCAACTACTCATTAAGCCTTTAATGACTTGAATCAGGTGTGCCATTTCAGGGTTAAAACAGAAACATGGCCTGTCAGGGGGTCCCTGCAGGAGAGGTTGAGAAACACTGTTCTATGCGGATAATTTTCAAGAGGTTCATAGGCCAAGGCCCAAGGGCGACATCTGTTGGTGAAACTGCAATTAGAAGAAAAAAACCTACAATCTCAGTGTTTGTATATTTTCATATTCACAGAGTTGTCAAATTATTAGGGCTGGGAAAAGATTAATCGCATCCAAAATAAAAGTTTGTGTCTACATGATATATGTGTGTGTACTGTGTATAATTATTTTGTATATATAAATACACACACATGTATATATTTAAGAAATATTTGCATGTATATACTGTATATAATTATATATAATTTATATTATATATAAATTTTAATATTTTATATATAAATAACAAATATTTATTAAATACCTACATGCAATTGTGTATTTATATATATATACAAAATAATTATGCACAGTACACACATTTATCATTCATGTTCCAAATCTGTGTTTTTAGTAATTGTGGTGGTTTTTGGTATTTATAATTTTAACCTTTATATTATTTATTTATTTTCATATTTGGTGCCATTGTTAATGTAAAATGATTTATTTGCAGCAGTTATTTTGGAAGTAAAGAGAACCTAACTAAGAAATTCTGAATGCTTGTTATTCCTTGGGTTGGTGGTTGGGAGTGGGGGGGCACCACCAAGCATTTGTGCTTAGGGCACCCAAATGGCTAGCGCCGGCCCTGATCATGTGCAACTAAACCTCTACAAATGATCCAGAATGCTGCAGCTCATCTTGTCTTCAACGAGCCCAAAAGGGCCTACGCCACTCCTCTGTTCATCTCTCTGCACTGCTGCTCGTATCAAGTTCAAGGCATTGACGCTTGCTTACAGATGTACCACAGACTCAGCTCCGTCCTACTTTCACTCGCTCCTACGAGTCTACATCCCTACCAGAAGCCTACGATCGGTCAATGAGCGACGGCTAGTGGTACCATCACAAAGAGCCACAAAATCACTCTCCAGAACATTCTCATTCACGGTTCCATGCTGGTGGAATGATCTCCCCACCCTCATCCGGAATGCAGAATCCCTGACAGCATTCAAAAGACAACTGAAAACTCATCTCTTCCGTGAGCACTTAACCTCATAAAAAAAAAGAAAATCCTTCTTTCTTTCTTTCTTTCTTTCTTTCTTTCTTTCTTTCTTTCTTTCTTTCTTTATCCTTTAAATCCTCCCTTGTCACTCTGAGCAGTGCCTGAACTTTGTATTTTGAGCACTTCCTGCGTTGTTTTTGTCTCTTCACGATGACACGCTTGCTTTAGTCCTCAGTAGTAAGTCGCTTTGGATAAAAGCGTCTGCTAAATGACTAAATGTAAATGTACATGTTTTAGTTGCCCATTTGAGATTTGTCAAAAATGTAAACTGTCTGACTTAAACATGTAGGCCTATAGGCCTATTGCAAGTTCTACTTTGCCACATCCTTTTGCTCTTTGTAACAAATCCTTTCCAAGCTGGTCAAAATGACAGAAGGCCTAAAATTATACCTTTATATATAGACTATATATAATTTTTTGGGAGTTTTTATTTTTTTATTTACCTTTAAATTACTAGATTTATCAAAAAATAAATAATTTAAGCACATTCTTCACATTTTTTCAACTTCAATTCAAAATAACTAATTCCATGCAAAACCTTTTTAATTCAGCTCAAAATGTCTCACATTGGGTGTCTTTGCAGATCTATTGTGAAAAAACAGCAACATGATATTTCATGAGTCTTGCCACATGGCCTTATAGCTCTATATGGAGCAAATGGACTGTTCTCCTGTAACTTCATATCTGTGAGCAGTTATGAATTGTGACTGATTGATTTATATTTGAAAAAAATTGAAGAAAAAACATTGTCCCCATTATGTTCATTCCTAGATATTCCTATATGAATTCCTAGGTGTGTGTGTGTGTGTATTTGTGTATTTAAACCACACAAACTCCTTGAATCCAGTAAATGATGTGTGTGTATTCCAAGTTCAAGTAAGGTCCTAAGGTCTTGGAACACTCCAATAAACACTCAATGTTTAATTAAAAAAATATATATAATAATTTCGGACTCGAGGGAAGGATGAGGGTTAAAATTGTACATGTGACATCAAGAATATAAACTGTAGCAACCACATTATTCTAGCTTGTCCCAACTTAGTTCTGTTACAAATAGTGTTTCAACCATTTTTAGTCTCACATTATACCAACAGTTTCTTATACATCAGAAGATATTTCAACTATAAATACACCTTTATCATACTTTTTGCTAACAAAATGCCAATAGTCATTAGTTTAAAGTCAATAGTTAAACCTATGTAACTCTGTATAAAAAAAAAGAAAGAAAGAAATGCATTAAAAAAACAGAAAGAGTAACTAAAAGTTATAACTTAAAAGGGTAACTAAACCAGCGACATTCACCCTCAGTGTTCAATCTTCATACTTCACATCAGCTTTGAGCTGGGTTTTAGTGTAATTGAGTATAGCAGCCAGAACCTGCTCATGTAGAGCGGTATTCCCATTAACTTGAGCTATTAACTGAGTGAGGTCAGTCCATTTCAGTGTACCCATTACTGCCATGATATCAGAGTACAGTTTCTCCTGCTGTGTAGGAGCCAACTCCATGATGATCTCAGGAAGTGGCTTGAACTGGCCACTGGTCATCCATCCTCCCAGCGCACCTCCCAAAGCAGCACCTGTAAGCAATATAAATAAATAAAACCAATCTATAGCACCATCTTGTGGTTAATAAGTGAACTAGATGTTTGAGCAGCAAGAAATCACGGATAAACATTACCAACAGCTATACCAGCTGGACCTCCGATCAGTCCTCCTACAAAAGCCCCTCCACCAGCAACTGCGGCTCCTTTCGCTGAGTTCTTAAATGCTGCTTGTATCTTCTTATTTGCGGAGATTTCACAGCAGAGTTTCATAATATCATCTTTTCGATTTGCCATTGTGACGTGCTGAAAATATCAATAAACAACGATGCCACACATGTATAAAGGAAGAGGAAAATTGCAAACGACACACAAACTTCTCTAATAATTTCGGGTATTTGTGAGGCCTCGCTACTTTTCATGTTTGAGAAAATAGGATCGACGCACAGCAATTTAAAAAAATAAGTTTTTACTCTCTAGCTACTAGATAAACTAGGCCTAGCCTATCTCTGATTTTACTTAACAAGGCTTTGCAGTTCTTACCTGAGTGTCTCTCTTTAAACTCGAGCAGATTTTAATGGTAAAGACAAAGTTACTTTCGGTATCACATTCATGAATTCCTGCACTTCCGCGCTCTCCTCAGCTTATAGGCCTATAGGACCTTGTCTCTGCGCTTAAACATTTGCTGATTAGTCAGATGGACACACACTTAAAACAGGCTACGTGTCACATAATTTATTGAATTGATTTTCAGGTCGTTGTAGTAAAAAACGAATTGAATTATTAAATAAATAATAAATGTTAACATTCTGTAAAATCGTGACACCCAAGAAGTAGAAACATTGCAGGAAAGATAAGTAAAAATTCGACTAAGTAAAAGTAAAAATGATTGCATCCGTCAAGCTGAGTCATTCAAACCTTGGCTGATACCCATGTGGCTAATTATATATAGCATATAATTTCAGTTTATATGCTTTTGTACAGTCAAAAGTTTGGAAACATTACTATTTATAATTTTGAAAGCAGCCTCTTATGCTCATGAAGCCTGCATTTATTTGATCAAAATATAGAAAAACAACAGTAATATTGTTAAATAGTATTACAATTTAAATAATGGCTTTCTATTTTAATATACTTTACAATATAATTTATGATGCAAAGCTGAATTTTCATTACTCCAGTCTTCAGTGTCACATGATCCTTCGGAAATAATTCTAATATAATGATTATCAATGTTGGAAACAGTTGTTCTGCTTAATATTTTTTTTATAACATTTTAATTTGATAATTTTTATGGCATTTTTGTCTTTGATGAAGAAAACGTTTTTTAAAATCAGCATCTATTTAAAATAAATATCTTTTGTAACAATATACACTAGGCTACCGTTCAAAAGTTTTTGAAAGAAATTAATATTTTATTCAGCAAGGATGTGTTAAATTGATAAAAAGTGATAGTAAAGATTTATATTTTGAATAAATTCTGTCCTTTTTAACTTTTTATTCATCAGTAAATCCAGCTTTGCATCAAAGAAATACATATATTTTTTAAGTATATTAAAATAGAAAAGCATTATTTTAAATTGTATTAAAATTTCACAATATGAATGGGGGTTTTTTTCCAGAATTTTTGATCAAATAAATGCAGGCTTGATGAGTTTTAGATACTTCTTTCAAAAACATTAAAAAATAGTAATGTGTTTTAAACTTTTGACCGGCACTGTATATATATGAGAAATAAAAGTTTATTGGTTTAAACTCCATACAATTTACTATATAAAATATAATTAGTAAAACATAAAATAAATAAAATAATAATCCATCGCAAAGATGAGATATATATTTATTAGAGAATATTTTTAGCCACAGAAACGACATGCGCTTTATTAGAGTAACCTGCATTGTACAAAAATAGCTAATGGTTTAAATGGCACTGGAAGAGAGAAGAAGAAGATTAAGAGGAGCCTGAACATGAGTACAAAAGCAACAGGATTATCTAATACATAACCAAACAGGACCAGGACTTGGAAACCCTGGCTGTTGACATTAACCCTTTAGTGGTCATTTTTCATACAGCACTTCGGCCTTGAGCTCTTTCGTGGCATAATAGAGTATAGCAGCAAGCACTCGTTCTTGCAGAGTGGCACTGCCCATAACCAGAGCAATGAGGCTAGTGACGTCTGTCCAGTCCAGTGTGCCCAGTGCAGCCGTGACATCAGAGTACAGTGTCTCCCTATATTTAGGAGGCAGCTCCATGATGATCTCAGGAAGAGGTTTGAACTGGCCACTGGTCATCCAAGTTCCCATGAGACCTCCCAAAGTACCACCTAGAGTAATATATCGACAGATTCATACGCAGAATATGATTAATCTGTTTATATTAAAGCTCTACTTATAAAGCTTAATAAGAGTGTTAAATATTTATTTAAAAAGTTGTAACAAAAAAATACTAGGGCTATCAAAAGATTAAAAGAATTAATCTTGTTTTTATAATATATGTCTATACGTGTTTTTAATTCTTTTTTGGTGTTGATGGTGTCGCCTTACTGAAAGGACTGTGAGAACAAAAAAGATACATTCAAGATAAAATAACACCACCCTATGATGAAAGTAGATGAAAGTTCGTGGATTGCATGGGAAACAGAGTCATGATCCTACCAACAGCGATACCGGCTGGGCCTCCAACCATTCCCCCGACAAAAGCACCTCCACCAGCCGCTGCAGCTCCCTTTCCAGAGCTCTTCACTGCTGCTGTCATCTTCCTGCTGGCCGAGACCTCACAGCAAAGCTGCATAACGTCATCCACTCGCCCGCTCATTCTGATGATGTCAAGAGAAAAAGAATAATTCCCCCTTAAATGAGAAGAACTGAAAGTCACGATGATGCTCAAATGCTTTGCCAGTTCACGTGCATCATCTGAGAATATAACTAGGCCTATTTCAAATGATTTCATGATAGCAAATATTATTACGGACAGTACTACATATTTATATTTCACATTCTGCAATCGAATAATGTGAAAATAATAGAAACTAAGATTACTCTTAGGACAATTGTGAGATATTCGATATTATGGATTACACAATATTATCTTTAAAAACTAAAATAATTATTAAAATGTCATTTTAAAACAAAACAAAGTCTATTTCATTACAATAAATCATTTTGACACTTAGGATACGTAATGTGCATTAATATGATAATATTTAATATTATAGAATTTAAACTGCATTATTGCAACTCGTTTTTAAAGAGCTTACCTTTTGTTCTTTAAAGAGGAGCTGTAGCAGACGCCTGTTACAGTCACTTTGGGTGAAATCAGAGTGGGATTGCTCAACTTACTTGCACAATTCTGCAGTCTGCTCATCTGATGTGGAGCCGAGCCGATTGCCTTGTGGGTCCTCTCGATTTAATTTGTGTTAATCTCTATGACAATATCAATATGAACACACAATACATGAGGCATCTCCCTCTATATTTCATGGAACATCCTATAGTTTTTTAGTTTTTCATCCTATAGAATTTACTTTTCAAGATCAAGTCAGTTCTCAGCAGATACCTGAATGAGATATAGGCCTAGACTTAATCATTTGAAAATGTAATGTTTATCATAAAATGGGTCTTTTCTGACATTTTGAGATTAAAGATAAACGAGTAAAATAAGGAACTAAATGGCTCAGGTTATTAAAAACTGTCCCATGCTGTTTTAACCTCTAGAGGGCCACACTAAATGGATAGTCATCACTCACTCACCCTCAATTTGTTCCAAACATGTATGAGTTTCTTTCTGTTGACACAGAAGGTATTTTGAAGAATATTGTTAACCAGACAGTTGACGGCACCCATTGACTTCCATAGTATTTTTTTTTCCCGGTAGAAGTCAATGCGTACTTTCAAGGTGACAGAAGTTTTTTAAACAAATAAATAACAGAAGCAAAATGTTGCAATAAAGTAAAACTAGTTTGTGTGTTAAAAATACAATGAAAATGTTTTAAATTAAATAGGGACTGACTGGGATGGCATAATTATTTTGAACAAGCTAATTATCATAATAATTTCATGCACTTTACAATGTCTGTGTTTTTAGTCAGTTGGTTAAAACTGCTCTTAGGCTACTTGACACAAATTTACAGGAATATTATATTAGTTGAGACAGCGCTAAAGAAAAAGAGTAAAGTAGGCCTACAGACTTGTGCCTTACACTTGTGTTTTAATTGTGAATTATGCAGCACTAGTCAGTCAATTTGACATGTAAGCAGTTAGAAGATAAAAGTCTTCAATCAGCGCCTACGTGGCTTTGAATAGATTGATGTTTTTATATAGTATTGTATATGAAAGCCTATCTGTGAATACCCGTGAGACTTCCGAGGTAAACAAGAACATCCGCATGTACGAATGCCATTGACGCCCCGCCTCATGTTGTTGACGTCAGGTTGAGTACAGTCAAGAACAAGGGGGAGGAGTTTCGGGTACATAAACAAGTCCCGACTGTACAGTGTACACCGACGGCAGTGACTACTACAGCACAATTTAGACAAAGCAGAGGCATTTAAGCTGCAAAAACTACTTTTCTGACAGCTAATAAGGTGGGCAAAACTAAACGTTGTTATTCAGATTTTACAAAATTCAGATTGTGAAATGTCAAATTTGTGAATGTGTTTTGTTTCTTCTATAGATAACTTCAGCTATTGTTTTGTAGGCTATTTAAACACTCAAATCTATTTAGACACTGTTTATTAGTTTATCCTTTGAAAATGTCTGAAAGAGAATAGAATAGGATATAGCCGATACAAAAGCAAAAGCAGTTTGCCTATTTTGTTGTTCCTTTATATCATTAGTTTCTTCGATAATCCGAGGAAACAATAATTGTTAGTAGCCTATTGTTGTGTTTATGGTAACGTTAGAGCTATTTCAGTTGCTTTAAATAAATGTACAGTAGGCCTACATTCCGTGCTTGACTGTTAACAAGTCAGATGCTTTACATGGTCAGGGCTACAGCTGATCACTCCTTCCTGTCCCACTTCACTGACGTATATTGGGGATAATTTTAGGATATTCAAAAATAAATATAACAGTGTTACAATTAGACTAGCTTTAACTGAAATTAACTATCAATACACATCGTAAAGTCGTAAAAAAATAAACATTATTACAAGCATAAAGAAACCAGCGTTCCTTTGGAAAGAGTTAAAAAATAAACCGTTTAATTGTCAAACAAAAATAATCATCACTAATATTTCATATAACGTTTAACTGTGGCTTAAAAGGGAGCTACAATTCAATTCAATTTTTGAAATGCTATGCTGGTGTGTACAAACAAGTTATCTTTGTAATGGGGATGCTATTCAAACCTGTAAAAAAAAAAAAATCAGTTCTGCATCTGTACAGTGGGCTCTCAGAATTCAGTTTGCAGTTTATTTTTTAAATTTGCCTTTAGCAGAGTAGACCGACATGCCTGGACATAATCTGATCCTGTGCAGGAGTTTATTGATGATCTGAATCATATATTAATTTAGTCCAAAAAAGAAAATAAAGAAGCTAAATTTGGAAAATTATTCCAGACAGTGTTAAAAATAAGTGATCTGTGTAAAGGAACACCATGTCTCAGCTCAACCAGCTGGTAGCTACATACCAAGTGCATCAGCTGAACCAGGCTAGCAGAACATGAGTCATGACCTTACATTTATTGTTACATAAAGCTGTCTAATTTGACACCTGAAACATTCTGCACGTTACTTACCATCAACAGCTTATATAAACAGCAACAGCAGATATTTGCATGCTAAATATGCTCATTACAAAATCTTAGAATTGCAAAGGGAAAATATTGCAATGGAGGTCGATTCCTCTAGAGGGCAACATAACTCTGTATTGAATTTTTTTTTTTTTTTTTTTTACAGATAGCAGTCTGGCTAAGGCTAAGCCATAACAGAAAATGATCAGCAGAATCCTTGCACAGCTGGTGGGAAGAGAAGAGAAGGACAGTGATGTTGCAGAGGAAACTGATAACTGTGCAAACCTCCTTGAGTTTGATGATGGAGAATGGGTTATCATAAAGATACACGGTAACCAATTATTGACAAAAGTTAACTTTTGTCAGTTCAGTAACTCTTCTATTGTTATTAACTGATGTTAATAGTAATCACATATTATAATGCTAAAAGTGTGAGAGTCATTACTTTAATTTCGTGTTATACCAGTGGTTCTCAACCATGGGGCCGGGGCTTTTTTTTTTTTTTTAAAAGCTTTTATTAAAGTGCCTTAAAAAAACATTTCTGGTGTGCATCTCGAGACAAAACAATGGCACTGAGACATATTTTGAGATATGACAGTGCAAATTGCTTTCAGCTAAGACATGCATTTTAGTTTGGGACTAGTCTTAAGCCCTGTCTGTGAAACCGGAGGATACTTACTGAGATCTCATCTTTGTGGCAAACACCCCTGTGACAACTATAGCCTCAGTCAGTATCCCTTATTGTATAGGTTACTCATTTGGCCTGTGCAAGAAAAAGAAAAATTGCCCCATGAATTTAGGGACCCTGCTTTGAATCATGCCTAATTGGATCATTAGTAATGTTGTTGACTTAAGTAATTTATGCTTCCTCTGCAGAGAATCAGTCACTTGGCTCAGCTGACACCAACATTCTTGAGAACCTGTTAATCGAGCACCCCAGCATGTCTGTGTACCAGATGAGGCCTGATCAGGGAGACCTCGGTTCGGATGAAGAAACAGAGGATGTGGCTAGGTAAGTTTAAAGACAATTAGGCATTTTCAGCTAGAATCATTTATTCAGCAAGAATCGAGCTAATATTGATTATTTAAGCTACTTAAAATGTTAGGTGTTTAATAGTCGATACAATTTGTAATGCTTTTAAAAGAAGTATCTTATTTCAAAAAGGCTGCATTATTAGATCAAAAATACAGTAAAAACAGTAATATAGTGGTTGCACTTTATTTTACAGTGCACACACTTGCAATGTACTTACATTGTACCTACCCACAAAAGTACTGAGTAGTGTAAGGTAACACTTAAAGCTGGAGTCCGTAGCTTTTTTGGGGTTAAAAATTATCCAAAATACATATTTGTGAAAATACATAACCAGCCAGTGTTCAAAACTATCTGCTTGCCTTAGCTTGATTCAAAGCGGTAAGCTTGTAATAATGTTTTTAATTCCAGTGGTACTGGTGGATTTCCGCGGGAGATTCGAGCATGTCTTTGCGTCATTATGTCACATCTGTACACATAAAGAAGGAGTCTCGGCTAGTAGGCTATATTGCGTGTGAGGATGTTGGAGGTGGATATAGCCTTTTCTCACAGCACTTGATATAATTAAACTTATCAATTTGATGGCGGATCCAGAAAGGTTCAAACGACAATCACCAGTGACAACAGATTCACCCGTTGTAAAATGCAAAAGACTTCGTTCGGACTTCGGAGTGGCTACAGAAAGAAGAGACTGCAACCGGACCCATGCGAAAACAAGGATACATATCGGAAGGACATTACATGTAGTCATGCAATGCTTGCTTACGTTGTTAACATTAACAATTTGAGAACAAAGTATAATTTGCACGGTTTTGCGTGATATGATAACTTATAAGCGATTGTTAGATTTAATCACCGCGATTTACTGCAATGTCAGAACCAGAACAAAAGTGGATGTTTCTTACTAGTTCAGATGACATTTTCTGGTGAAAATTATTATGTTGGTCATACTTCCAAAAAGAATAATCTGTGATTCTGAATGCCAGTATCCACACCGGCGCGGTGACTGACAGCTGCACACTCTCCTCAAACATTGTTCATCCGCGCTGTGCCGTGTCGAGGGTGTTGAAGTACAACTCACGTAAAGTTGATAATTCCGCGAATGACTGCAATTGCAGATTTCGAACAGAGACGGCGACAAAGAGGAAAAACTCCGGACTGCAGCTTTAAAGGCACACTGTGGAACTTTTCAACCTTTATAATATATTACCAAAACCCATTGAGATGGTACATCGACTTACAATAGGTTGAATGACACGTCTGCCGTAGCCTGAAGGTGTCTGTATCGCTTTTCCTAGCACTATGTAACTTCGGGTTTCGGGTAGGAACCCGAGCACAAAAAGAACTACAAAATTCAACCGCTTTACGGCATACGTCACTTCCCCCACCACCCACAACTTCCTCAGATTCTGACGTGAGTGCTCAACCATAGACAGTAAAAGAAATGGACAGAGCGATCTCATTGGAACTCAGTTGAGACAGTTGAAGCCCACTTTTAGCGATTTTTGAGCACTTCCGTTCCTGACGCGCAGACTCAGACCGACTCAAACTAAGCTTGATGACGTGAGCAACCTGTCTGACAGACGTTACTCTTCTAGTAGCTGTGCGTGAAAATTGCCAACGTTAATCTTGCAGAGACGGGGAACTTGAGCAAAGAGTCCTTTATCGTGAGTGAGCAGGAGTAAGTATTCCGTTGCTTTTATGGACTCATTATCTATGGGCTTCTCTCTTGACGGGACGTCCCCCCGATTGCCTGCGAGCTTCTCCTCCTGTCTGTACGGTAATTTCTGTACAGCGCGACAGAGAGTCGAGTGGTTATGACGCAATCGTTAGCCTATTTTTACTAAAACTGTTTCTACGGGGCCATAATGTAACATAGAAGGTAATGGAGCCATTTATACATTGTCGTGTTTCTTTAGAAATAAATAATGGACAAATGGAGTCTTTAAACGCCTCAGATGTAAAGTTATTCGCTGTCAAAGTGACGCCAAAATGAATGGTAGTCAATGGAAATGCTAACGCAAGGGAAGTTCTGCTACAAGATGGCGGTACCCGGCCGGCTTCAACTTCCGGTCGATGGATTACCCCCTTGTGCTCAACTCGCGTTTGATTGCCGTCTGTATGTTTTCGTCATGGCCGAACCAACAGCTACAAGGAAGAAGGCAAAGGTTTTGTCAGAGGACACTAAAAAAAGAAAGAAAAAGGCATAGTGACAAATGAAAAGCCAGGACGAGGATCACCATTGGTCCAGCTTTCGCTGGCGTGAGCTACAGGAGGAGGAGGGGTGCCCGACCGATGCTGACGCTTGCCTGCACACAAATGCCGTTTCCAAGGTGACCCAGATAAATCATATAAGTAGAGTAGTATTTTCTGGTATTCCGGCCACAGCCGATAGTGTTATGTGTGTAATAAAATGCCCACAGCCCATTGTTCATTTCTACACACAAGCACAGCCCGCCACAGTGCAGGGCTCGCACAAATAAAGTCGACTCATGTCAAATGTACATTAAATGTAGTGAACGTGCCCACGACTCAGTGCCCACAAACACTACACACAACATGTCCCACGGTTTCTGTAAAACGAAACCAACACACATAAGTTACAGTCAGCTCAGGCCGACGGTGTTTTTAGTGCAGTAAATGTGCCCGCCGTCCCGCGCCCACATTCACTCAGACATGTTAGCACTAAGCCCCACGGGGCTCGCCCCGCTCGCTCTCTCTCAGCAGACTGCTATAAGGGAATCGAGCGCGGCAAGGCTGCCCGCCTTAAACACTGCAAGCACACACAATCTAAAGACACGGGAGGCTGACCCACTGTCTATGGTCTGACCGGTTGACTGTTTGTTGACTTTTGCGACAGTGCTGCGGAGCTTGTGGCCTCTTGGGACGCTAGACGTGAAAGTTACAGGTCGAGCGCCACTAGTGGCCAAAAGTTCCGCGGTGTGCCTTTAAAGGAGAACTCCGGCGCAAAATGAACCTTTGGTCTAATAAAACATTGTTACCTAGTCAACCGTTCTCTGAGATTTGTTTTCATGATAATCGAATGTAAAGAGTTTTATCTCTAAAAACTGTTTAGCGTATAACGCTAGTAATGGGGGCATTTAATAAGTAAAAAGAAATCGCTAGTTTATACCACTAACAAGGCTTAAAATAGCCCCACACTAACACAGTAACATAATGAGGGTCCCTACATGCAAAACGAAGCATTGAAAACTTTGTAAGTGTACAGACCGTTTAATATGATACTTTATAAAGACAGTCCACTTCGTGTATACAGACAGGAGCCATCTTTGGAAAACAGTCTCGACTAATCAAACCACGAACGACGTGCTAAGTGAGCTGAACTGTATGAAGTTCAGTGAACTTCTGAACTGTATGAATGGCGTTCGTGGTTTGATTAGTCGAGACTGTTTTCCAAAGATGGCTCCTGTCTGTATACACGAAGTGGACTGTCTTTATAAAGTATCTTCTTATTAAACGGTCTGTACACTTACAAAGTTCTCAATGCTTCGTTTTGCATGTAGGGACCCTCATTATGTTACTGTGTTCGTGTGGGGCTATTTTGAGCCTTGTTAGTGGTATAAACTAGCGATTTCTTTTTACTTATTATATGCCCCCATTACTAGCGTTATACGCTAAACAGTTTTTAGAGATAAAACTCTTTACATTCGATTATCATGAAAACAAATCTCAGAGAACGGTTGACTAGGTACCAATGTTTTATTAGACCAAAGGTTCATTTTGCGCCGGAGTTCTCCTTTAAGGGGTTATTACCTTGTGTCTTTACTACAGTAAGTACATAATATGTTGTGAAACAGAACTGTAAAATAAAGAGCTACCAATATTGTGAAATATTATTACAATTTAAAATAATCGTTTTCTATTTTAATTTTAATATATTTTAAAATGTAATTTATTCCTGTGATGGCGAAGATGAATTTTCAGCATCATTACTACTCGTCTTCAGTGTCACATGATCCTTCAGAAATCATTCTAATTATGCTCATTTGCTGCTCAAAAACATTTATCATTATCAATGTTGAAAATGTTTGCTGCTTAATATTATAATATAAACCAATTTCAGCATTAATTTTTATAAGACTGCAATCTTCTGTAAAATGATATATATATATATATATATATATATATATAAAGATATAAAAATATAAAGAAAACAGGTTCATTGATGTCACATGGACATGTAACCTATATTTCCAAGTTGTAACTGTGGTTATGTTGGCTTGTGATTTGTCAATCTACCCCTTTAGGCCAGTGCCAGTCAGCCGTCACGTTTCTTGGCGGTTAGCAGCATGGGGCAGCCCCTTGCCCTGCAGCACCATTCTGCTCTCAGTGCAGCGTGCCAGAGTCTATAATGAGCACAGGAAGCTGACCCGCGGCGCCCTCAACAGGCAAAACCTCGCAAGAACACGCTATTCACCTTCTGAGCGGCGTTATGGCTACTTCAAACAGCCCACTCAGCGCCTGTACAACAACTGAGCAAATGATCAATTTCATCTGAAACCACTGAACATACAGGATTTGATAAGTGAATAGTGGTTTAAGGGGGTATGTTTGCAAATTAGGACATGAAACCATTCCCCTGTAAGACTAGGATGGATTAAGAAAAATTATTACATGCAGTGTGGTATTATTATCTTCAGGAAGAAGTCTCACTGTCACTGTGACTCTGAAAAGCATATGTTAAAAAAATACAAGTAATTTGCATTATTAGTCCTTTAGTACTTGCATCCTTTAGTACTTAGCAATGCAATGATGTTTGAGTGCTTCTATTTTAGCTGTATATATATATAAAAAAAAAAAAAAACCATTGTTTGAAAACAATTCAGTGTTAAAGATTGTGCTGTACCAGGCAATGCATTTTTTCATCAAGTATTAAAGTGAAATTGCATCTTAATGTTACTCACATGACAAAGCGATATGCTGTGATTTACTGTGATTATTTGACTTTGTATATTTAAATGCCGTTTTGGTGTTGCTTTTTTTATCTTCATGAATATATATGATAAAACTTTTTAAAAAGTGAAAAATAAATATTGTATCTTCACAATTGCTCTTATTTTTATTTTTTTTGCAATTTTAGTCACAACAGTCACTCCCGAAGTGTGTGCATCTTCCCCATGAACCTATTGATTCTCTCAGCATCCACACCATTTGCCCAGTGGCCTCCTTTCTTGAAATGGGAGCCGATGATCATGGCGCTTGCTTGAAGGTATTGCTCCACGTTATCATGTGTAACTCCAGAACCGATGAGAACAGGGATCCGTACAGACTGGGTAACCTCTGTTAAAACAAATAGGACTCAAAACATGAGTGTGAGGACATCTTTCTGTTACATACATGCATAAAAATACAAAAACATGTTGTTCCTTCATTGTAATGAGGATTTTGGCAGATTGTGCCTCATCCTCCATCTGACAGCTTCCCTAGTCCAATGGATCAGAACTAAGGAAGGCAATAGGCACACGTCCAAAGTAGGCAGCAGGGCAGTAGCAGACTAGACTGGGCCTGGTTTTTCATGCCTATGTTTACAGCCTTCCATGATCACTAGCCATCTGGAAGTGGGATTTAAAATAGCTGGAAGTGCTGGTGTCTATGTTAGCCCATACAAAGCCATTGGTTTTGGGGCAGGGCAGGAAGCAGGCCATCTGCCCACACGGGGCAGTCACCAGGGCCAGGAGACTGCGCAGCATCCTCTCTTTCCAAAGGACACCACTATCTTTAAGCACTTACACACATGGCTGCATGGGCTCTATTAAATATTAGAAGCAGATTAACTTCTAAATTAGCAGATTTACGTTTGAAAAGGATTGAAGGCAGAGAGTGTCACATAAGTGTCCAGTTTTAACACTAATGATTCCTGGACTTTGCACAAACATATAACCTTGGACAATTGGGGTCTGTAAGTTTTTGTCCCTCAAGTCTCTTATGCTGACCAAGGCTACACAAAAATACAGTATACTGTGAAACTGAAATATTATTACAATTCAAAATATCTGTTTTCAGTTTTATTATATTTATAGTTTTATTTATTCATGTGATGGCAAACCTGAATTTTCAGCATCATTACTCCAGTCTTCAGTGTCACATGATCCTTCAGAAAACAATTCTAATATGCTGATTTGCTGCTTATTATCAATGATAAAAACAGTCGTGCTGCTTAATATTTTGGTGAAAACCTTGATACTTTTTTTTCGGGATTCTTTGATGAATAGAAAGTAAAAAAAAACTGCATTTATTTGAAATAGAAATTGTATAGATGTAAAAGTATTTACTGTCCTTTTTGTGTAAAAGTGTGAATAAAAGTATTAATTTTCTTTAAAAGAATGTGTAGTAAAGGAAAACAAGAAAAACAAAAGGCTAAAATCCTGTTAACTCAAACATAATGCTAGCCGCATATATCAAATTTTAATTCAAATTGTTTTCCTGTATGATAAACTTATCACTATAAGATACCATAACTAACAAATGATGTTTACATCAGTACATTAGTTAGCAATGGGGCTAGTTTGATTTTATTTTGTGAGATGTTAGGAAGCTGCATAATGTCAGGATGACATATGAGATGGTTGGTTTCTACTGAAGCAGATTAAAGTTGAGTGACTCAAACATGCATACACAGCATAATAAGAATTGATCACAGTATAGCCCTAATACTGTTCATCAAACACAAATGTACACTACCGTTCAACATTTTGGGGTCAAGATACGTTTATTCAGCAAAGACTTTAACCTGATCAAGACATTCATAATGTTACAGAAGATTTCTATTTCAAATTAATGCTTTTCTTTTGAACTTTCTATTCATCAAATAATCATAATCAAAAAATGGATCACAGTTTCCACAAAAAAAATAAGCAGCACAACTATTTTCAACATTGATAATAAGAAGAAATGTTTCTTGAGCAGCAAATCAGCAAATTAGAATGATTTATGATGTGACACTGAAGACGGGAGTAATGATGCTGAAAACTCAGCTTTGCCATCACAGGCATACATTGCATTTTTATTTAAAATATTTTAGCTATAATATTTGAAAGTGTAATAATATTGCACAATATTACTTTTTACTGTATTTTTTTTAATATAAAGCCTTGTTACCGACTTACCGACTAAGAGGACATATTGAATAGCATAATATCTTAAAAATTTACACTGAAGACTGTAGTATAGACATTAAAAAATACACAGCACTTTTACACAGTCAGACTAAAGTATATTCTGACATCAGGCAGCCAGACTCACCCCTCAGTTCCTCTGGATCAGCCTGTGCTCCAGTGGCAGTTCCTGTGACGATGACTCCATCAGAGAGGAAGAACTCGGCTGCTTGGGCTGTCTCAGCTATGCTCACATCTGAAGTCAGGGCATGAGCACTGTAACATTATCAAATATATCACACAATAAAGCAGAAATCACCACACTGTGTTGTGCCTCTGTTCGAGCTCTGTGGTCAGCCAGCACGTAATGCACTCAGATCACAGATACCTGTGCTTCTTCTTGATGTCTGTAAAGATCTGAACGTGCTCTGCTCCAATGTGTCTGCGGTAGCGCAGCAGCTCGCCAGCGCAAGCGTTTAGCAGGCCTTCGTCTGCAACATGTGAGAACACAAACCCCTCTGCACGGATAAAATCCAGCCCTGTGGAGGGGCAGAAGTTAATATTCATTAAATGTCTTGTCAGAGAATACCTCGGTTTGAAATGGCATTCATGATAGCTTGTACAGTCATGTGAACACCTGAGGCCAGGGCAACAGCCAGTGCTGATTGGTTTGCAGCTGAGAGAATCTGAACACCGAGCGGCCAAGACGGATAAAGTCTCCTGACTGCTGCACACACAGCTGTCATTGATGCGCACACTTCTGGGCCCACCTCAAGGGTGTATGGAATATCATGCATGTTTTCAATGATCAGCCCATCCTGTCATACAGAGAATGATCTGAAATGAGCATTCACACATTGAGCACACTGACCAGAAACATAATTATCTGACAAAGGAGAAATCTAAAATCTGATAACTTTTACCAAAAAGCCTGGTAGACTGGTTTGATGAGGTAATTTCGTTCAGTCACATAAAAAAAAAGAAGGAAAAATATCTCCTATTGAATGCTAGTTATGACCCTTGCAGGCACCCGTACTGGAAAGAAGCTATTAGAAATCCGAAGACTGATCTGATTTGTTTCCATGAATCGGTTTAAGAATCTGATTCAGGTCTTATTTTATGTCATTAAATAATGACGTTGTACTTGACATCATGGTGTGACATCACATACTCTAAATGAAATATTCCAACAAAGCCGTGTGTCTTTTTCGACTACAATTTTAAAATATTTATTGTAATTTCATGTTCATGTTACGGGCGACGACAACTATACTGACGTTTACACCAACGAACAATAACATTGTTTATTATAACTGCCCACTGCAGTCTGAGCTTTAAAGTCCCCATGGTATCAAAATGGGGTGAAGTTGGCTTTAAAAAAAATGGAGTCAAAATGAAGTTTTTTGGCTTTTAGTATGAATATGTTAGCCTTACTGTCATCTATAAGCTAGTGTGCTCCAAAACAATGACAAAATTTGCATTTAGAAGATATAATCATTCAAAACTTACAGTCTCTCACTTCCACCAATATGGATCAATGATTTTGATGACATCACTCTGCACTTCAGCTTCTCAACAGATTTTCTGTCCAATAAAATGCTCTCTAGAATCTAAAGCGTCCCACCCCCTACATGATAAATAGACACTGAAGCTGCGGCTAAAATCGGTCACTTGTTCACACATTTACCATTTTCTACATGGTGAATGGCACGTAGTGCACTATATAGGGGACAGGGAACGATTCAGACAGTGTAAATATGCTTTCCATTGGGGCGAATCAGTTTAGTGTTAGGCAAACAGGCGCAGAGCGCACACAGTCTGCTCACATATGCACGAGTCGGCGCATATACCAGAAAACGTATAGGACCCATTTGAATTCTGTACAGAATACTATATTTAAAAGTGATAAGGACATTAGGAGGACAAAACGGTTAGAGAATAGGAGAAAACTGCGGCTTTACTGAGCTCAACGGCTCTGGCCGAACTGTGATATAAACTAAACGCTATTGGTTATTTTAAAAAGGGGGAGGAGCTGATCCATGTCTCCAGCTCTCTTCCTGTTTCAGTGGAAATTCCAACGATATCGTTCCCCTGTGTCGTTATAGTTAAAGTGATTTCTCAAAAACACGATTATTATAATTATGGTTAACATTATGCTAATACGCAATTAATCGGTTCACTTCAAATTTTTCGAGTCATTACGAATCAGACATGTCGGATACTACCTTAAACAACACGTTTAAAATGAATTGTCTTAAAAATGTCCTTAATAATCCCTCTTCACTTTGGAATATTATCCCTAATTATATTTTCTCTAAAGTTGGTGGCCTGAATTTTCTCTTACTTTGTAACTATAATGTTACAAAGATCCCTGTCAAACTTTCAAATTTTAATAAGCAGATGCTCTTGGCATGGTCCCTAATATACAAACACAACTTTTCTCAGCACAGATATTACTTGGAACAATAAGGATCTCTACAAGAATAAATCACTTTTCTTTGACAACTGGTTCAAAAACTACCTTTTTTTTTTTAGTTGGACAGCTTTTTAACTCACAGGGCAGACTTTATAACTATTTAGATTATTTACAGAAATATAAAATTCCTATAACTGCTCATGAATATGCTATTGTTTTCAATGCAATTCCCTCTGGAGTGTCTTTTATGTTGCAAGGTTCTACATTTCCATGGCCATACTTACTCTTTGAACCTTATTGACACAATGATCGGAAATGTATGCTTTTCTGTAGAGCAACAAAAAAAATTTATTATAAAATTAGAGCTCTCTTCCAAAGAGAGCGATAATGACAATTCCTTATGTAATACCATATTGGAATAATATATATATATATATATAATATCTTATTTTGTAAGTGACTTTTCTTTCTGTTTTAAAGATGTTTTCTTTGGATTTTTTTACTACTCAAAATAGAAAACAATATTACATAATTAATTTGTGTTTACTAAATTTCACATAGGCTACATAAACAAAAACGGACAGGCTCTAAACCTCTCTTTCTCTATTCAAAGTTCATCTAGACAAGAACTATCCAAAGCTCTGTTAATCCCAAAGCAATGAAAACTGTATCTCTATATTCATCCTTTTTGTCCTTTTTGGTAAATGTATTGCAGACTGCAGTGTTCTTGTTTTTTCTTACCCTGGCAACGTATTTGTGTCTGTATTTTTGTCTTCTTTGTTTTGTTGTTTCCCTATTTAAAGTATTGGTTTAATGCTTTGTAATGTTTCATAAAAATTCAATAAAAAAATCAGACATCGAGATGATTCTCGGTTCAATGATTCAGATGACTCGAGAACCGCTCAAACCGGTTTATGAATCGTTCAAACCGATGCCAGGCATAGATTCGATAATTCATTGAAAAGATCCGATTTAAAAGAATGATTCGGTCGCGAATCAATGGCACCGCGCTAACAATATAAGGTGATTACTATGTTAGAAAGAGCGAGATTATTATAATTCTACACAAAGACATATTATGCCAATGATACGTTTAACTGTATTGAGCACATACAAGTCCTGCGTGGTGGTAAATTTCCGCCTCTCGACATGCCTCCTCTGTGATCTCTGAGAGAGTAGCGCGGTTCAAGGGGGTTCCTGCAAAAGAAAATAAATTAAAAGTTCAGTCTTTCCTATGTTAAGTTTGTTCTCCCGTCAAATGCGTTACCTGGTAAGGCTCGGACGTGAATCATGCCAATGACATTTGATTTTAAGCGTCCGAGAAGATTTAAAAACTTCATTTCTTAAGCCAACAAAAAACCGATTTGTGCTTTTTGATGGTCATGTGACTGGTCAAAGGTTAACTGACAGAAGTGTGGATCTAATGACAACATCCAAGATATCTGAACATGTAAAAGATACATCTCTGATAATATTTAAAACGCTGCTGTATATTGCAGTTTTGTGTATTTCTAAGGGGGGCGCCAGTCAAATACACTGAAACTGATTTGCCTGCGTTAACCTAGCAGCAACTGTAACAAAATAATGCGTTATATCAGCTTGACAACACTTGAGATCTCAAACGGCCTTCAGAGTATAACCAAAACATTCAATCTCGTGTCTCACTAACACTATAGCGCGATTACATTCATCTATTTAACATGATCACTGGGATTGTTTACTTCTCGAGCCTGCTAGCCATGTGCTCAACGCACTTCCGCTACCTCAATGCCGTGACGTCAACAAACACACGCCTCATTTTGCCGGCAAAATTTTCATGTTTCTAAACTTTGTTTTATTGAGCATTATATGTTTGAATAATAACGCCTGGATATCGCATGCTCGCTCCGTGCCGGTGTCAATCGCACTATAGCGGTATTGATCGCACTGCTTCGCGGTTGTTATAGCAGAGCGGGGATTTTAAATGACCCGCGTTGACGGCCCCTTTTAACGACTGCTGGCGGGTTATAAGACAAGGCGCAAAATTACTGGCGCCAGCTCAGAGCGAGCGGACTGCGGAACACATCACAGCTTAGCCATATGCTCCCTGCTTACAGACTCTTTGACCAGTTTTTCTAAATAATGCCTTGTGTCACACCATCCTAACTTTTGCATTTGAGGATATCCGTGGAGAGAACGCATTTTCAGAGAGCATCATATTAAGGTACGTGCATTGCACAATAATTTGGTTATTGTTAAAGATCGATAAAAGTGACATCAGACAAGTAAAATGCATTACAAGGGTTTGGGGAAGCAAACTTTACAATGTTGGATTGCCGAGACTTTAGGTTCTGTTGCTAGAGCGGGTTCAATGAAATAATGATTGGCTCGGCCATTTTCTGACTCCCTTGGGTTGAGCAATGCAAACGTGTAGTTTTATTAACAAACTAATAGAAATATCGGCATGCACTTGGTTGACTTTGAAAATATAGACTTTAAAGTGCACATATCTGTGGTTTTGAAGTGGTCGGTTGTGTTTTTCGTGTAGTTTTGACCTCTTGAACATTGTGCCCGGTTCTACTTCCCCGCGCCCAAAGCGCATTGTGAAGACTTACATGATGGGGGTTGGGATTAAAAGCCACAAATCGGACATTTTTGTAAAGTAACACTTTTATCTTTCAGGCTCTCGACACTCAACAAGGTCACACGCGTGGATACCATGCCAAGTAAGAAAGTGTAAGTTTCGCTTTTGTGACTTTAAGGCAGTTTTGAACATCAGTGTGCATGCATGGAAAAGTTGCAGCAGCGAGTTGGCCCAGTTAGTCACAGCGTTTCAGGCCAATGTGGAAATGTAACAATGTCATTTTTCGACGCAGGCTACGAACAGAGCAGATTAACACTACAGATGTAGCTCCTAAAACCAATTCTGTGCGTCCCAGGAAGAGGAAAGCAGACGTGGCTATTGTAAGGAAGCTATTCAACTTTTTATAATGCGCCTATATTAAAAACATAATGAGTGATGAAGTCTCTGACAGTTTTGTTTTTGAATTCACAGCATTTACACGATCTAGATGAGGAAATCACAGAGATGACCAGAAAGAAACCATGTGCATCCCAGGTATGGATGAATCATGACTGTATAATATCGATAGGCCTCACCAGGCATCTCATAAGCTAAACCAATTGCCACTTTTATTTTAGTGTTTTCTGTGGATCGCAAAGTGGTGTATGAGACTTATGGTCTAAAATGTGCTGAAATTATTCATATATACAGAGACATGGAATCTAATATTAAGACATATAAATATGTCTTGATCACAGATTATTTCCCAAAAATATTTATATTTTTTAAAGATGCACACATTTACTCAGATTTGTATGCCTAATGTTGAAAGTGCATATTTGTTAAGAATCATGAAGCATGTAAATGATTCGGCCTATATTTTCACTTCAGAGTGAAATTTGACAAAAGTTGAGTAGTTTATTACATTTGGTTGTTGAACATTTCTATCATAAAACTGTTGCCAAATATTGTTTAGCTACTTCTCTCACCTCACACTCTTCCTCTGGTAAAAACTGAAGCACTACGCTTGAATTCATGTTCAGGCACTGTTTGGCCACTGAGGCAGAACAGCCTATAAATGTAATATGTAAAACGTTTTGCAATCGTAACAACAAACAGGGCAGCATCAAGAATATTACATATTGGAGGGGTTTTTTCCCTCTCAATGTATATAGTGGTTCCAGTCACTGCTGCCTATGCCACTTTAGTATAGTGAGTGGTTAGGGTAAATGTCATGGCTTGAATTTACACAGGAAGCGTTTTTTTGTGCCATGGAAGGTCCTTTTCAAAATGCCTTTGAAGCCTGTCGTAGTTGCAGAGGGCGGGCTTTTGTATTTGTTTATATCAGTTAGAGTTTACCCTTTTTTTTCTTTCTTATCTTGTCCTCTTGCTCAGGCCTGCTGGAATCCTGACACTGGTTACACAAGCCCATGCAGGCGGATCCCCACACCTGATGAAGTCGAGGAACCGGTTGCTGTTGGCAGCATGGGATTCACACAGTACGCCACAGAAAGCATTTTCATCACCCCCACGCGCTCTACCCCTCTGCCGGCCCTCTGGTGAGATTTGACTTTACGAACTGTATATTGACATGATTTAATGTTTGCCAATAGAATAACTTGTAGGACAAGACATCTTTGTTGCATTCTATGATGTATGTATATATATATATGGATGTACATGAAAAAGTTGACGCGTTCCCCTGTAACTTCTCACAGCTGGGCAAGCAAAGATGATGTGTGGAACAACCTGCTTCGAAAAGACAAACTTTACTTGCGAGATATGCACGTTATGGAGAGACATCCAAATCTCCAACCCAAAATGAGAGCGATTCTGCTGGATTGGCTAATGGAGGTTTGTAATCATTGTTGAACCATTCACACGTCTTAATCTAATCTCATTAAGAGGGGTGGGGACACCGCAAGTTCCTTCATTCTTGTCTAAACCTCAAGTTGTTTACAAAGGCTGTTCCTCAAGTTCTCAGGTTTTCTTATAATTAAAAGCTCACTGCAAGTAGAGCCCAAAGTACACTTGAATTTATATGTGACTGTTTTATCCGTTTGATAGTGTGCGTGAGCACAGGCGATCGACAAATGCGCACTAGATTGTTTCCTATTAGTAAAGTGTCTACAGCATTTCTCTCCAGAAATTAAAACACAAATATATTTTCTGTGTAAACTCCAGTTTCCTGTATCTCTCACACAAGCACTCGTCAGTGTCACCGTGTATTGTTGTCGTTTCTAGAAGTTTGTTTTTTCCATCTCATTCATTTATATTCAAGGTGTATGTGCGAGCTGAGTGTGCAGAGTATACGCGGTTAGGAAAATCTGGCTGTGCTCATACAGTACACGTGTGCTGACGATGAAATTTACCTTACACTGGCGGTGAAACTGTACACATGGTCTGTCGGTTCGGCACGCATGTGTACCAAACAAATGAGTTTTAACCACTGCGTGTGCAAAAGATCTGCATGTGCTGAACTTAATTTGAAACTCCGATATAGGATGGGAAATTACCGTTAATATCAATATTATGTTGTTGTGGACAAATCTGAAAAATAACTGCAACAACCCTCTACAATGCGAGTAAAATCAAATTTCACGCTAGGACAGGGATGGGCAAACTCAATCCTGGAGGGCCACTGTCCTGTAGAGTTTAGCTCCAATACAACTGATACAACTCTCCTGCCTGTAGCCTTCTAGTAAGCACAGAGCACATCGTACCGGGCAGGAAGTCAGACACAGAACGGCATAGAGGAAAAAGGAAGAAGTCACCAACGCTCCGCTGCTGAAACGCGTCTGAGACGCTTCCAGTGGACTTTGACGCCGAGCTAGGGACGCATCAAAAACGTGGCGCTGACGTTCCGTGCCGTAGACGGATCCAGTGGATTTTAGGGGTCAGAATAAGTTTAGCACAGAAATATTTGTTTTCACTTTCCTACATTTGAACACTGACTGAGCGCTTGAAAGTTTCACTCTCTGAATTTAAAGCGCACTATTCATATCAATGGATGCGCAGCGTATTTGATGCACCGAAAACTGTAATGTGAATGTGCCCGGCTCACTGTCTATAGTCTGGGAGCGCTCAGCATTTCTCACACATGCAAAGAGAGAGTCTTCAATGCCACAAAGAATTTATGCAGGTTTTTTTTTTTTTTTTTTTTTTTTTTGGGAGTTATTCAGCTTTAAAAAACAAGCAGAAGCCACTGTCGGTTACTTCGGTAGTGGGTGGGAATAATGCAGAAGCGGCAATCTCATTGGCTAGCGCTCATCAATTACCGTCCACATTTTGTTTTCAGCAAATCAGTTCGAGCGAACTCTGACAATGTAGTAATTATTCAGGAGCCCAGCAGCTTGTTAGCAATAGTAGTTGTAGTATTTTATTATTATTTTACAGAAACATTGAATAATGTGTTTCTGTAAAAGTGTCAAGCATTACCACCAACCCATAAGTTCTATCATATCAAGTTAAAAAAAGCTTGATTGACTGTTTTGTTAAACGGTGTAGTTGTAATTCTTTTACATCAACGGGAAAAGTACACAAACCAATTTGTCCTAAACATGTTTACATAACAGAGGTGGGAGTGTGTTTTTTTTTTTTTTTTTTTTGAAGACATGGGCGTTACATGCTGTACTTGCATGCATTGCATTTTTTACTGAATTACTTATTGATATAGCTTTATTATTAAAACCCTATTTAAATAAATGGCTGGAAACTCAGAAGCGAAGATACTTGGTTGTATATTCAACAGGATTCTTTATTGAGAACACAAGCTTAAACTTACTTTTGTGAGGTTTATTATAAATAGCTACTTCTAAAAACTTGAGCAGAGACATCAAGACAAGTATCTTACCTGACGCTGATATTAAAATGGGCAGTCTTCAAGGTATTGATACTCAGTGCATTTGCATATTTTCACATTTCTATGTATATTCCCAATAAATACATCTTAACAAAAAAGGGCAGTCTTCGCAGTTTCTGCGATTTTTGTCTTATTAATTTTATAATTTTTTTGTCGGATACCATTCGTAATGAAATGATAGCATGTGAAAGAGTGTTGTGCAAACGGTAGCTCGGGTTGGTCAAAGACATAAGGAGAAGCATTCGTATAATATGATATCGGCAATCACATACATTCACATTGGGACGGGATTAGATTTCTCAGAGGATTGCTGAGTTTACTGAAAAACTGTAGGTAATTTGCCCTAGAATGTTTACAGAGTTTATGTGAGAAACAGATGAGGTACGCCTGTGAAACCCGAATTTAACTAATGTCCTCTGTGAAAACTAATCCCCTCTGAATAGGGCCACAGTTTGTTCAGTAAACCAAATAAAAAAATAAGCAGTCTTATTTTCCCCCCTCCTGTACCGAAAAACAAACATACCGAACAGTTAATTTGAAATGGAGGTACTTACTGAACTGTTATTGATGTACTGCTACACCTCTGTGACTCTGTCACACACACTGACTGAGCGTTTACCCTAGCATACACCTAAATATCAGTGTTCCACAGATTTAGAATTCGAAGTCCGTTTTCATAGTATGGATAACTAAAAATGAAATGTAAAGCAATAAGTTTTTTTTTTTTGAAGCGATGAATAGTTTTGTTTCTCTTTCATAAGCACTGACATGTTAAATGGTGAGCTTTGACACTGACATCTACTGTCTTTTAGGTTTGTGAGGTGTACAAGTTACACAGAGAAACGTTTTACTTGGGTCAGGACTACTTCGATCGCTTCATGGCCACACAAGAGAATGTTCTTAAAACAACACTACAGCTTGTAGGCATCTCATGTCTCTTCATAGCTGCCAAAATGGAGGTAAGTTTTACTTTCAGGTGCCCTTGTACTTCAGCCTGAACTTTTGATAAGGAGTATTATATCCTATCAGTGTAATTCCATGTTTTAAGAACGTTTAAAGTTAAGGCGCAGCACTTGGACATGAAATCTAATTAGGCATTATGTTCTTTTCAAAAGGAAATTTACCCTCCTAAGGTGCATCAGTTTGCTTATGTCACTGATGGGGCGTGCTCCGAGGATGACATTCTTAGCATGGAAATTATCATCATGAAGGTAGATTGTCATCTTTTAACCTCAGTACTGTGCCTAAACCTGCAGCCCTGCTGCTTATATAGTGTCGTGGACTACTGTACTCCATATTTGTTGTTCTTCTTCAGGAGTTGAATTGGAATTTGAGTCCTTTAACCCCAGTGGCTTGGCTCAACATCTACATGCAGATGGCCTATCTAAAGGAGACTGCTGAAGTTCTCATAGCCCAGTACCCACAGGCTACATTTGCGCAGATTGCAGAGGTAAGACTTCACAATTAATCGTGTTAAAATCACAATATGGTGTCTGACTATATTTACCGCAAAAAAGCTGTGATTCTGCACGTGTCGTGTCCCTGCAGTGTGAAGGCCTGGCACTCTTTTGTTTTCTACTACACATACCGCAGGTGTACATGGTGTTTCTGATTTTATCTTTCTCAAAGCTGCTCCCAATATATGAATGCACTTTCCATTTCTGGGGCTTTTCTGTGAAAATATGCTTTAAAGGCACACTAGTCTAATCAAAAACTAAAATTGGTTCCTTTTTTCTTCTTCTGTGGAACACAAAATAAGAGATTTTGAAATGTCTTTTTTTTTTTTTTTTAAACCTAAATCATACAGGTTTGGAATGACATGAGTGTAAGTAATGACAAGTTTTGGGTGAACTTAGGGCTGGGCGATATGGAGCAAAAAATATATCTCGATATACGATATATATCTCTATCTTTACAGGAAAAATAACCCAACAAAAACTACTGCAAAAACAAATATGCCAAATACCACAGTCTTTTTTTTTATTTTTTTATTGGAGTGCAAAGAGGTAGGCAGTTCATGTAGTCCAAAGTGCTTCTGCGACATTTAAAAAAAAAAAAAAAAATTAATCCCTGTATACAAAAATAATAATTCAACAACGGCAATGGCCAGGGTTGCCACCTGTCCCGTTTTACCGGGATTGTCATTCTTTTTAATAACCTATCCCGGGGAATTTATCCACTCTCCCGGGACACAGAATGTCCCGGTTTTCGAAAGGCTGTGTGAATATGTATATTCAAACCGTGTAGCGCGCGCACTGCAGAGAGGGACTGAGAGCGAGAGACCTTGCGTGTGCGTGTGTGCCTCAAGAAGTGCATGTAAGACAGCATTTAAGACGATTCTTTTAGACGAGTTCTGTAGCCTCCGGGCTAGTTGCGGGCGCCGCCATGTTGAATGAGACAACACACGAGGGGAGGGGGAACAAAAGCAAGGAGGCGGGGGCGAGCACAGCGCAGAGAAGGCAAAATCGCCAAATCAGAATTAAATCTAAACAATATATCGATATATACGATATGTTAAAATCCATATCGTGTTTAAAAAAATATCTAGACATATTTTAAATATCGAGATTTCGCCCACCCCTAGGTGAACTATCCCTTTAGGAACACTGCTTTCATATTCATGTGACTTAACTCATTTCACTACAAGTTACTATATAAATGTAATGAAATAAAATCTTGTTTTGTGAATGGAATAGGAGATTGTAGCTTTTTACCAGAATTAAAATCCTATAAGAACATATTAAAAAAGTACTGTGAACAACACTGAAATTCCAAGGTCTTTCTTTAGTTTTTCGTCAAAGGTGTTGAGAGTTGAATGTCAAGGATCTACAGCAAAACATATTATTTGTATGGTAATTCTAATAATCTAGTAGTAGTATATAGGGGTGGGCGATATGGCAAAAATATCATATCACGATTTTTTTCAGGAAAATCACGATTAACGATTTTATCACGATTCTTTTTCATGTTGGTTTTACTATTTTGCAAGTGACTGAGCATTACAGCCAAACTAATGTCCCTATTTAAAAAAAAAAGCCTTATAGGTAACAAAATAAAAAAGAATGGCAGACATTTAGGCCAAAGTGGCGAAGATAAAAATCTTTATCATTATTTTCTTTGTTATTAAGAATTAGGAACAAAGATACACATTAAGCATACACAACTTAATATACAAATGAAATAAACAGTGCTTTATTTTTTCAGCTACAGTAGCGGTATTTAACAGTAGCATTGAAGAAAGTAATTAGGCTAAATGAACAAATACGAAAATAAAACACAACATAGACTTCACTGTATAAATTATACATTGATTATTATTAAAGCTACTACTAAAGTTCTCAGTCAAGAGCAGTGAGTGATTTCCTCTTTGTGTTTTGTTGTTTTATTAACATTAAAGGGATAGTTCTCCCAAACATTTTAATTGTCATCATGTACTCTCTCAAGTTGTTTTAAACCCGAATAAGTTTCTTTCTTCTGTTGAAAATAAAAGTTATTTGGAAGAATGTGGCTAACCAAACAGTTGCTGTACTCCAGTGACTTCCATAGTATATGTTTTCCTACTATGGAAGTCAATGGGGACCAGCAACTGTTTGGTTAGCCACATTCTTCCAAATAACTTTTATTTTCAACAGAAGAAAGAAATTAATACAGGTTTGGAACAACATTAGAGTGAGTAAATAATGACAGAATTTTTATTTTTGGGTGAACTATCTCTTTAAGGACAAGAGGCAGCTTGTTTACTAACTGGCTACTGTCGCTTTAAGAGCTGCACGCGACGCGTCTAATATACACGCATTTGACAAGCCGATTTTCTCTCATTTTTTTTCTGTTTGCTTTCACTTTAGACATAACCAACTTTGTTTATGTAAACCTTGTGTGTATTTGACAATATTAGCACAATAAGACTCGAAAGATAACTTATAACGTAGTCCAGTAAACACAAACAGACGCTGTTAGACAGGCTTTTAGTGCCCGTGTGCTTCGGGTGTATGCGCTCAGAAAGCACACGTCAGAGAACAGCGCATCAGCACGTGAATTACATGTTTAACCAGCAAGGCTTTAAAGCACATGCAAATAATGAACTTCTGTGAACTGCAGTGTCCCGTTCCTCTGCGTTAACATTTGTTGTATGTTGAGACGGAGCTCGGCGCCAGAACTGCAACTGATAAAATGCACGATACTACGATATTTCTTCAAAAGCAGATCGTGGAGACATTTTAATCGTCCACGATCAAAAACCGTGATATCGCACACCCCTAGTAGTATATAAAAAAAGTTGTCTGGGTTTAAAAAAAAAAACTTGCTAGAGACAAAAAGCATCCCTAGTAATACTTCCTTGCTTAAAGTTTTTGCATACATGTTGAACTTAAGCTGATGTTTCAGGCTTTTTTTTTTTTTTTTTTTTTTTTCTGAGAGATGTCTCTGTGGATGTCTCTCTTTACTTAGGATTTAGTATCTTATTTTGTCTGTCTTTTTGTGTAGCTCTTGGATCTGTGTGTACTGGATGCAAGAAGTCTGGAGTTCTCTTACAGCCTCCTCGCAGCTTCTGCACTCTTCCACTTCTCTTCTCTAGAGCTAGTGATGAAAGTTTCAGGTATGATTTTAATGTTTTTTTTTTTTGTGAATTTCTTCTCGATAGTTTTATTAAATGGAGCATGTAAATGACAAAAATTTATATATATTTTGTTCCAGGGCTGAAGTGGTGTGATTTGGAGGAGTGTGTGAGATGGATGGTCCCTTTCGCCATGTCTATTCGTGAAGCAGGCAGCTCAGCCCTCAAGACCTTCAAAGGAATAGCAGCAGATGACATGCACAATATCCAGACGCATGTGGCTTACTTGGAATGGCTGGTAAGTTTTTTGCATTTGAAGCTAGGCCACAACTTAATTTTCTCAGGCCAGTTTTATATATGCACACTCGCTTGGGTTTCAACACTACTGTCTATCTTGTTCTGACTAAAGAATTGTGCATGCATTTGCCCAAGCCACATTTGTCTCTTTCATTTCCTCTTGCCTAAAGTTTTCTTGTTTCTTTTCTTGTTCTTCAGGGGAAGGCGCACTCATATCAGCTAGTGGACATCGAGAGCAGTCAGAGGTCTCCGATTCCCTCTGGAGTGCTCACACCACCACACAGCAGCGAGAAGCCCGAGAACACCGTCTCCTGACTTCCTTTATGTATGGAATAGGACACAGCCCTGACTGAGTTGAAGTGAAAATCAACAAATGAATGGCATTACAGGACAAATCCAGCTATCAGTTCACATGCATTGGCATAAGACTCAAAAGACCAAAAATGTCTAATGCTTTTTTTTTTTTTTTTACGAGACTTGAAAGACATACTTTTTTTTTTTTTTTTTTTTTATGGTCCAAAGGGTCTATGTTTTGTTTTATTTTATTATTATTATTTAGTTTACAAACGTAGACTACCTGCCAAAATCTCAGAGCTGTAACTGGCTCTGGTTGCTGCTAAAAGAGGGTGGGACTGGAGCAGATGGGAAGATGACCACAGAGATCCCCACACAAATATGGGCATGGGTTTCTGTTGCTCAGGTTGCCATTTGGACCAGCAAAATCCTGACAGGTTGTCACGGGGACTCAAGTCTCCACTGCCAGAAAGGACCAGAGAAATCACCAGCTTCAGAAGCTTGGACTCTGATTTTTATATTTAAGATTTTTGCTTCCTGTGTGTTTGTAACCAAATTTGACCATTCACTTTTTATAGGTATGTTTTTAAATGAGATGCTGCTACATTTCTCTATATCATATTTCTAAATAAAGCCACTGTCTCAGACAGTTTTTATGATTACCATACTTATTTGTTTCTTGATGTTTATAAAATACTACTCAACATATTTTGTCATATATATATAAATGTATAAATCTCTATTATATATGGACCATATTTTATATTCTAATTAACTTTCTATATTTTAAGCCTTTTGTGTAAATAGTTTTTAACATGTTAACAATTAACATTTCTATGATGAATGGGCAACCAAAGAGATAATGCATTACATGAAGAAGAAAAAAATGCGTTAGATGACAACCATTTAACTTACTAACAAGCCTACACCCTGTAGTGCAACGCATTTAACTTCATGGGAAAAACTCCAGCGTGTGTAATTTGACATGCATGTACAGAGGCAGCCTAATTTTGCTTTTAATGGAACTGGAATGGTTCTTGTATTAAGTCGTCTAATTACCAAAAAGCAATCTATGCAGTTTGAAAAAAAGATGTGCACTTGCTGGCTGTTTTACAATAGGAGTCAAAAATAGCAGATGTAGGCCTACTGAAGTGTAACATCATGTATGAGATCTATGAAACAAAATGGTGAACAGGGCCTGTAATGGCTGTCTCACTCGTGCATCTACATACACAGTGCCCTCTGCTTGCAGTCTGAGAACGAGTGTTACGGAGAGACCAAGGACATGATCCACTAGATGTCAGTGTGATGCTTTGTCTGTCATGATCAGAAGGCTGGACTTGAGGTCTGTGAGCTCCTCAACAGCTGCTGCTGAGACAAGGGTAATTCATTACATTGCACACTGACAATCGCTCTGCTGCCTTGGTCTGGCAGTGTTTGGGTGCTGTGTTGGTGACTGGAATCTGCTTAAGGCAATTTTGGTTTGGGCTTTATTATTTCAGTTGTTGAAAATGGCAAGCTGCTCAATGCGATTTGTATTGAAACATTACACACGTACATTGTTATTCTACAATTGACCGTTATCCAACATGCAATGCAGATCGGGGTAATTTAAAAACCCGTTTTGTGGCAGGTTAAGCAGTTAATAACAAAAGGGTTTGAATATGAGGTAGATGAAAGCTTCTCACCCTTAAAGGGATAGTTCACCTAAAAATGAAAAAATTGTCATTACTTATCCTCAAATTGTTCCAAACCTGTATGAGTTTCTTTCTTCACACAGAAGATATTTTGAAGAATATGGTTAACCCAGACAGTTGACGACACCTATTGACTTGCATAGTAGAAAAAAAATACTATGGAAGTCAATGTGTGTTGTCGACTGTCTGCCAACATTCTTCAAAATATCTTCTGTGTTCAACAGAAGAAACAAACTCATACAGGTTTGGAACAACATGAGGGTGAGTAAATGATGACCCAATTTTTGGGTAAACTGTCCCTTTAACGATCAATTAGCGCAGTTTGTGTCCCTCATAGGTTTACAGTGATTGGAGGCCCACGTCACTGTTCTGTATTTAACATTGTGGCAGCAGGATGGTTACCATGCAGTCTCTTAAAAGAGCTGTATGGAGGTCAACGTTGAAGAGGAGGAGGTGGCTTCCCCCAGCAGACAGACCCTGGGGGCCGGGGGGCCCTCAGGCAGGCAACAGCGCAACAGCTGTTATGTGCTCAATGGCCCCTTTTGTTCTCTCCGCACAGACGCTGGTGGCAGCAGCAGCAGGTGCCCATTGGATGATCTCCCAGCCATCACCGCCAAAAGTCACACCTAGTCGCAGCTCTGTGCCCCCTGTCTGCCACTAATATTCATAATGCAATCCAATAAAAGAGTTCTCAACAAAGTTCTGGTTAAAATATGTGAGAAACGCTGATTATATTGTTTTTAGGGCTGGGCAACGATTAATCGCGATTAATCGCATCCAAAATAAAAGTTTGTGTTTACATAATATATGTGTGTGTAGTGTGTATAATTATTTTGTATATATAAATACACACACATGCATGTATATATTTAAGAAAAATGTGTTATTAATATATCAAATATTTATATCAAATATTAATTATGTATAAATATATATAAAGTATATACATGCAAATATTTCTTAAATATATACATGCATGTGTGTGTATTTATATATACAAAATAATTATACACACTACACACACATATATTATGTAAACACAAACTTTTATTTTGGATGCGATTAATCGTTGCCCAGCCCTAATTGTTTTACATTTTATGAAGCATTTTTGTCCTCAGGAAGAAGCTAATATGTTTAATCTTGGATTTCAGAGTGGTATTGGTCTAATGTCTGAAATATCTGTGTTTAAGATCTAAGGCCAGGTTTCACAGACAAACCTGGATCAGGCCTTAGTTTAAGTAGCTTTAAAAACATGCCTGAGAAAACATTACTGGTGTGCATCTTGAGGCAAAAAATAGGCACTGACATATTTTAAGATATGTCAGTGCAAGTTGCTTTCAGTTCAAACATGCATTTTATTCTGGGACTAGGCTTAAGCCTTGTCTTGTTAAACCAGGGGTAAATCTACGGTCTGTAAGCCACTCAATGGCATACTGTAGCAGACGCAAGAAGGGGTTTCTTTTCAGACAAACAAAGGGTAAGCTTTCCAGTCCTTGAGTGAATTGCTGTTTTGTAATTGTTAATTGAGTAGTTCAGGTGCTATCAGGGTTGAAATGTATAATCAGCCTACATGCATTAATGAGTATGTGTTGTGTTGTTCTGTCTCCTGTACGACACGGGGTGGGGAGTAAATTGTTTTAGATAATTCATTTAGATGACTCAGTTTTAGGCAAAATAAGCGGGCTTTTCTCGGGTTGTTAGTGAGCCATCTTCATTAAAAGCCCCCTACGGTTCTAAGAGGTGGCGGGGGCTAAAAAGCTATATTCACACAACTTTTCTTCAGTTTAAATGAGAAAATTCAATCTTCACTGTCTCATTTTTCACCTAGAATAGTTCAGCTAATGAGGTGATTGTGTGTTTTTAATACAATATTGTTACAAAAAAAAGAACAGGATTAAGTGATTTCTTTATATTATAGAACAGTCACAGAACAGTTTAATAATCCTTAATAACATACAAAAATAGTAAGACTTTATTCAAATAATTTATCATTTATAAAATCAGGATTTTTATATATATATATATATATAAGTAAATGTTTTTAATATTAATATTTTTGAACATTAAATAAAACAAACATTATTCAAAGGTAACAACAGTGTAATCCCAGTTGTCAAGACTGTTTTAAAAAAAAGATTACAGAATACAAAATATACTTTATTGCCCCCGTATAGAAATTTGGTTTTGACCCCATGCTGCTACAGAGACACTGAACATTAATGTCCATACTATGAATAAATTGAAATACAAAAAAAATAAAAAATAAATTTAAATAACATATTTTGGTTAATAGTGCTAGTATTGTATTTTTTGCGATTTATTGTTGCTGTTCCTCTTAGAGCCAAAATCCCACGACCGTTTGCGGTGTAACACTCTAGTAAACAAGGAACAGGCAGTGGCTAATGCTAGTTTATTTTTGAACCCTATTATTGATGTTCTTTGCTTTCTTGGCTACAAAATAAGTTTCTCGTGACCTCATTCTCAGTACTATCTTACTTATTAAAAACCGCTATATTGTTTAAAAAGAATGATACAATTTAAGTTTCACCACTCTTGTAGAACTGCGTCTCTCATGAGCTGTCAAACTCAACTGTCACGGAAGCTTTCCCGCCTGACCACGTGGCAGCAACTTTGTTTACACACGTGACTCGCTGAGTTGGCGCCCACTTCGACGTCATCAACAAAAGTCGAGCTAGGGCCGTCGGTTGAGGAGCTCAAATCAGCGCGTCATGCGCATAAACTCAAGGCCTTATTCACAGTTGGAAGAGATTTTAGCGGGTTATTTAAATACACCAGGTTAGTTTTTCCCCATCTATTGTCATAAAATGATATACATAGTGTTTTAATGCAGGGACACACACTCATGGGTCATTGCGCTTAAAAAGTAGGCTATTAAATATTTTTCGGGTTTTATGTAACTTAGGCTACCATAGACACATTTCAAACATTTTGGGCAACTTGAGAAGGAAAACTGCACTCTGGCAATTTAACTGCAGTAACATTCAATCATGCTTTTGATTCTAATCAAGATTAATCGCATTTTAACAACAGAATTTAACAACGGACTTCCAGTTGTTTTTGCCAGGCCTAACAGGAAGTTGAGTTGAGGTTTTGACTGTTAGGAATTTACTGAATTGCGTCAACAAAAGTAATGGCGTTCTGGCTAATTATGTTCTTTCACCAGGCATGGTCTGTAAAATGAAATTAGCCTTATTTTCATTAAAATTATATTTGATATTAAACAATCAACGCTTAAAGTGCCATACAATATTAATATTGTCTATATATGCATCTATAAATAATTAGCATAGGCTGTTTGTTTAGTTTACGATAATTGGCAATATGTGGATTTATTTTAGCTTCATGTCAATTTCGATCTGAAATTCCAAATCCTGTGTGCTACCTCAATTCAAATGGAGCAACCCTCTGATTTATGAGAAACGGTCTGAATGTGTAATTTGTGAAATGTCCTT